GAGGGAGAGGCATGTCCCAATAAGAGTCTGAGGCAAATTCCTGAAGCAGGAAACTATTCCTTCCCATTTCAGCACTGTCCATGTGTCCTGACAGGGGCAGGAGAGTCTCCCAGACAATGCACTGAAAATCAAGGCAAAGAGAGCCGCCAGTAAGACACACGGGCGTTTTAAGGTGTTATCGTGGAAACTGGCCAGCAGGAGGCCGGACTAAGAGACAGTTTTCTATTTATTCGTAAGAACTTGGGACCCTGGGACACCTCCTGGACCATGGTGGTCTCTGGTCACTGCCTCTCCATACAATCTTTGCCTTTTTATTGGGTGTTTATTTCTCTGTGGTTTTAAATTCGTTCCTCCACAGCTCAGGCTGAGCGGTAGGTCAGCTGCAGTACCAGGTACTGCCAGCAGGTGGCACTGGCCAGCCATAGTCTACATCTCCATTGAGCACACGCAGTTTGTTCCTTGCAGGGATCTCAGGTCGTTGTGACACCGTAGAAACGACAGGGGTCACTTATTTGCAGTACTGAAGCTAGTAAATAGCAGCAGATTCAGGTACCAAGGGCCTTCACTGTGGCCTTATAGGTGCCAGGGCTTCTTCCAGCTAGTGTCCTAAGCAGATCTAGCCTTTACTAGGTGTTTTCTAGCAGACCTTGGTCAATCCATGATGCACGAAGAAGGTAAAGAGAAGGTGCAGGAAGGGCTTGGACCATCAGGGTCCAGCGCTGACCCTGCTGATGAAATAGCAAGCAGCACACAATGCGGAGAAATCTCACAAGTTTCTGTTTGCCTCTGCGCCGTTCGAACTCCAGTCCGTTTCACCTCTGATCCCAACATCCCCGTTGTGTTCCTCACTGACTATGACATTGCTTCATGACGACTGGGCAGCATCAGTGTTCGCACAGCTCTTCCTGTCAGAGCTCAGTGACTTATGACCCACCAGTGGCATCGACCACCTCTGGTTCAAGATGGACCCTGTCACAAGTGGATGAGGGTTCGTCTAGGGTTGGGATGGAGTTGTCACAGGTTGGGGTACCATAGTCAGCCTGCCCTCACTTGTACCTGCACCAGGCCCACTCGGTGATCTCATCTTTGCCTCCAGGCTCTAGGTGTCCTAAGGCACATCACAGGATGGGGGTAACTGGAGGGCCACTTCCCCCAGCTCATGTTCATAAGTGAACATGAATGCCATGGCATCTTTGCCAATGATGCTGTACGTGTAAGGCCACAGTGACACACTGACACCACTCCAGGAAAGGGTGCATTTTCAGATCAGCAGCCAATAGGTCTGAGAGGTAGGAGTTAGTTCTGGAAGCTGGCCCATGATGACCTTGACTGCCTTAAACACAACATGCTACTGCCTTACTCTGGCTGTGTGAAGACATCCTGTGTCTAGAAACACAGGTCAAGAGCATGGAACCAACACATACACAGGAGACTCCCTTTTGGGATTTTCTGGAGATGTCTGGACTTCTCTTGACCTCTGAAAGGTCCCGTCTCATGGAGACGACATCAAGACAAGGATGATGTTTGCAGCTCAGACATGTAGTGGCCCCCATAATGCCTGGCAGTGTTGCCCCTTTGTAGATTTCCATTCCAAGGTCTCCTTGGCCTGTGTGATTAGGCTTTTTGGAATGATTTTTCTGGCTTCCACTTTCCCATTCTTGTGATAGAATCCATATTGGACAAGACCTCAGGAAGGGACCTTACTTAAAAGGACCAGGGAACCTCACTCCTGAACCTGAAGCCAGCTATGGTTTATAGAGCTTGATGTCTGCTTCCTTCTCAGAGACATTCAAGGTCAGTTTTTTGTTTAGGCCACAGCAGGCATACATGTTAGGTGCCGGAGACAGCTTTAGGCCCAGTCCGGAGACCTACAAGAGGTCACCATGGAAGGACTAGAGAGGTCCCTTCCCGAGCTGTGTGTTCCGCTGTTGGTGAACTTTGATGGCTCTAACAGTCTGCCTTCCTTGACAGGTCACTGTGTCTTGTCTAAGGTTCCAAGGTGACAGAGCTAATCCATTCTCTAGTCTTAGTTACTTCCTATTGCTGTGATAAAATTACCCAGTAACAGCTACTCGAGGGAGAAGGAGCTGGCAGTTCCAGACACAGACTGGTGAGCCTTCATCTCCTCTAACAGTTTCACAACCATTCCCACCAGCTGGAGACCAAGGGCTCAGACAGGGGAGGAACTGCATACTTGGGCCACCATGCAGGTGGCCCGGACAACTTGTCTAAACTTGTCCTATCCCGAGCCAGACAGCCCAAGGCATAAGGGTCACTTGACTTCAGTCTTTAAGTGTCCTGCTCTTCAGGTCTGGCAAGAACCTCAGAGTAAAGAGCTGGGAGCCTCAGTGCTCACCCTGGCCCCTTTTCTCCAACTGCATACCCGAGGAGTATGGGGACAAGTGGGCATCTGAAAAGAAGTGTGGTTGGTCACCTCTGCCCCCAGATTTAGCTTGGAGAGCTGATACTGTGTTTTGATCCTAATGAACCCCCACCACACACACACACACACACACACACACACACACACACACACACACACACACACACACACCAGGAGGGCACCAGTCCTCATTGTACAACTGATTTTAATTTCTTTCATGCTCTAATGATTACTGCCCACTTGTTAGAGTCCAGGCTCATCAGACAGGAACACACAGAATTCCCACATCTGGAGAGGAGCCAGTGTTTGCCACCAGGGGATGGATGAGCTGGTTTCTGCTTTGGGTTCAGACAGAACCCAGCCAATGGGAACTTGGAGTAGAAGAAACAGAAGAAAGATGGGAGGGAGGAAAGGAGGATCTAGATCAGCAATGCCCTTGAGAACCCAACATAGGGGGACTCACAGGGGGACTCAGCATACATCACAGTGTCAAAAGGATGGTGCCATGATGGTCTTCTGGATGGATGGTCTTCAGGGGTCAAAAGACACCGGTGCAAAGAAAGAATAAATTACATTCATCAGAGGCTGAAACCCCGAAGGATACGCAGGTGTTCCGGCAACTGGAATGTGTTTTTCCAGAGCACTGGGTTGACTGAGCAACCCGGGAATTGAAGAATTAAGGAACTTGGAGGTTTCAGATTTACCCAGGGTCCAGAAGAGAGAGCTAGAGCTATGGGTGTTGGAAGCCTCTTGATTGTGTGCTGGGAATCAAACTTGGGTCCTCTACAAGAGCAGTGCATGCCCTTAAACTTTTGAGGACCGAGGCCTCATTGCCTATACGTCTTGAATAGAATGCTCAATCCATAGGGTTTAAGAATTGGATGTAAACTATCTAAATGCATGCTGTAAAGGGTGCTTCTGTCTCCAGCAGTAGGGGATGCTCCCCGGGCTGCTACTTGGCTACAGCTTTCTGATGAAAAAAAAAAAACATTTTTAGGATGAGTCACTATGAAGTGAAGTTGGAATTGAGTAAGTAAAGGAAAGTTCTGGACTTGTTAAGAAGACAGTGCAGGCTTTAGTTTAAGCATGGGTATGGAGACAGACAAACACTTAAGAACAGACATTTGAGGAAGTGAGGGCTTTTCAAAGGACTGGAGTCACTGGGATTTTGGATAGCCCCCTTTATGAGCAAACTTAATGGGAGGTTATTTATGAGTTCAAGTGGGGTGGGAGATTTTTTGTGTGGATTTCCCCCAGAATGGGGTTCACCTCTTTTTGTCCTTTATGGGGTTTTCCAGATGTGTCATGGCATCAAATGAATAACGGGGAAGGCAATCTTGCAAGCCCAGTGGTGGCAAGCTGCCATCATAGTGAAGCCAAGGACAGTCGGTGAGCATTTGGGTCAGCGATGTTAGTCACGGCTGGCCTCGGGTGGTCTTCTTCACAGATCAGTGTTTCACTATCAGGCAGCTCTGTGATCTCGTTTTTCTTAAAGCAGCAAGTCATGGCCCTTTCCCCCATGCCTATGCAGCCTGTCACATTCCTCTCACTGTAGATGAGTTTAAAGACCTTGCCTTATGTAGTGCTCTGAGATGTTGACAGGTTTCTTCACTTCCCTGAGCCTCAGTTTCCTCTTTTGTGGAAGGGCAGGGGTGGGGTGATTTAGACCTGGTTATTTCTAATGCCTCAGGTTTAGTTTGCTATTATTTTAATTTACTTGTGTAGATGCATGTGTGGGTTTGCACACATGAGTACAAATACCCAGGGTCCAGAAGAGAGAGCTAGAGCTATGGGTGGCTGGAAGCCTCTTGATCGTGTGCTGGGAATCAAACTCGGGTCCTCTACAAGAGCAGTGCATGCCCTTAAACTCCTGAGCCATACTGACTCCCATAGCCACTCAGATCCATTCCAGAGCCTTTGAGAGAAAAACAACCAACGGATATATCAATAGCAAGGGGTTCAATATTGGACGTAGGCGCCTGTGATCTCAGTCTGCAAGGCAGTCCCCAAGGCCGCAAACTTTGGCTGGAGTTAGTGTGGACTCTTTACAGACCCAAAGTCCCCTAATGGGCATGTCTAACCTTTTGGCTGGTCAACATGGCATTATGATCTACAAAAGTTCACACACAAGAAACAAGCAATCACATTTTTAAAAAAATTCAAAAACTATAATATTTTAAGTAAACTCTACATTAAAATATTTGCTATTGTTGATACTAAGAGTGTCACGTCACTGTGCCTTCATTTGCACTTTTTTAAAACAAAGGTGTTGAGCTGGGCAGTGGTGGTGCACACCTTTAATCCCAGCACTAGGGAAGCAGAGGCAGGCCGATGTCTGTGAGTTCGAGACCAGCCTGGTCTACAAGAACTAGTTCCAGGACAGCCTCCAAAGTCACAGAGAACCCCTGCCTTGAAATCCTTCCCCCAACCCCCCCAACAAAAAAAATGATGTTGATCTTTTTCCTTGTTCGGTGGTCTTTGTGTATCTGCTACAGAAAAATATCTAACCATGTCCTTTGCCCCTTTGCTGATCTGGTGGTTCTGTTGGTAAGTACATTTTGTATTTTAACTCTTTATGAGGTAGGATTAAAATACAAATGTCTCAGGGGCAGAAAAGTATCTTCAGAGTCTTTTAATTTTTGCAAAGTAGCTGGAGCATCTTGGTTCTCCAAGTAACACCCCAGAGCAAACTGAAATCACATTTGTGAAGAAGGTGAGAACAGTACCCAGGGAAAGCCAGGTACAGGGTGAGACCCTGCTCCTAAGACCTGTCTCTAAGGTGATGGGAGAGACACACAGATGAGGTGAATTCCACTCTGAACACCTCCTGAAAGAGGTGAGAGCCAGGCCACGCCAGTCAGGCCAAGGGGACCTATCTGGAAGAGGACTTGCCCAGGACCAACAGTCTCTGGGCATCCGAAGAACTTTTAAAGAGAAAAGAAAGCAGAGCATACTCCATGCCACCTCTGTGCTGAAACTCTTGCCAAGGGATCCCTTCTGAAGAGATCTGGAGAACCGCAGGCCTTGGGAGCCTCACTGCACCTGGCTGACTGGCGGAGTCTAGGCATGTCCAAATCCCCAGTCTGGACGATTGTAGTGTGTGTGGGACTCATGGGAATGAAAACAGGAATTTGAGTGAGAGGCCACCTCTTGCCCGGGGTGCTTTGAAGATGGTGGAAAAGGGAGCAGAGAGGCCCCGCCCAGAGCCCAGGCCTCCTGTATGGTCAGGAGTGGAGGTCAGCCCCCATTGTGCCTGTGGGACAGCGTTCCATCCCCCAAAGACTTCAGGGCATGAGGGGTGGGGGTGGTTGCCGCCAGTCCTGCTTTATTTAGTAGAACACCTTCTCCAGATATGAGTTCAAGAACATCCCAGTGGGGTCCAGCTTCTCACGAATGTTACAGAACTTTTTAAAGGCGGGGTACATCTTCTCAAAGTCCTTCCTGGTGCAATTGTGGGCCTGTGGAAGCAACCGGATGCAGCAGGCTTTGTCTTTACAGAGGTGGCAGGCCAAGCTGCAGGCCACCACCCAGAGTCCCTGAACCTGCATTACGACACTACTCCCCCACCTTCTACACACACTACAGACTCCCCAACAGAAAGGGATCTGGAAATTAAAGCTGAAGGAGTTTAGAATTCATCACTGTATCCTCATCCCATAATACCATGGAGGGCCTGGCACTGAGCCCACCACCACACAAACATTCTACTTTCCTATCTGTTTTATTTTTATTTTTTTGGTTTTTCCAGACAGGGTTTCTCTGTGGCTTTGGGGACTGTCCTGGAACTAGCTCTTGTAGACCAGGATGGCCTCGAACTCACAGAGACTCCACCTGCCTCTGCCTCCCGAGTGCTGGGATTAAAGGCGTGAGCCACCAACGCCCGGCTTCACTTTCCTATCTGTTAAATAGACACAAAGATGCCTGCCTTAGCCTGCTCACAAGCTCCACAGGAAAATCCGATAAAGTGAAGGAAGTTGCTATGAAGACCCCCCAAGGGCCCAGCAACATCTGGGCTTCTGGAGCTGGAGCACAGGAGAGGCACAGTACCTTTTACTAGGGGTTAGGTTCCTCAGAGTAATGGAGAGGAGGCCCACGGCTATGGGTGAACTGGAAAGTTACCTTTGCCCAGTGGGGTCTGCCTCCAAACTTCTTCATGATGGTCTCATAAGCCAGCCAGTAGTCCAGCCGAGGCACATCCTTGCCATAGGGCCTAGGGAAGAGAGGAAGAAGATGATTATCCAGGCATCCCTGTCTCATGATGTGTCCCACCACTGCCTCAGGTGCATTCCCTGTGACCTGCCCTAATCTGCCAGGTGACTGGAGATCAGGATGGCTCTTCCTGCAGGACAGCACAGCCAGGACAGGCACCTGAGGCCTTCTGCTCATGGCACATCCCCCGGGGATCCCCAAGACTTTGTCCCCTTGTGTATTTATCAGTTGGTGGCTAGACATTACTGTGAGTTTAATATTGGCCCCAGACCCTAAAGTAACGGAGCTTAAAAAGTTTCTCTTGTCCTGGTTAGTTACAATAGTATAAAACAGACACAGTGTGTTGGTATTGCTTTACACAGGTTAGTTACAATAGTGTAAAACAGACAGTGTATTGCACAGACAAGCAGCCTAGCAGAGGTATGCAGAAGGGCATGCCATATAGGTTTTCACAGGCTGACATTCATTGTGACAAAATTGTGAACGGCGTGTTTGTCAGAATACATCCTCTTTGAAAGCAACTCCTGACTGTCACACAATACACACATACATGCATTATCCACACAATATACAAATAACACCAATTCTTGCCTATAAATGCTTGTACACGATACTTAAATACAACATACACAATAGTTACACAGCTGGGATTCACACGTATTATATACACACATAATTCGCATGATCTTTTTGCAGTGCCCACACATACTAGTCACATACAATACTCCCACATATCACATACACGCATAGTACTTTGGCCAATGCTTTGAAATCCCTGGGGTTGACAGATACATCCTAACATCAGGTTAGTATCTCTCCCCCTGAACTGAAACCAGTTCCAGAACTGCTCTCAAATATAGATAGCATGGCTCCCAGGCCAGCAGAAATCTGACTGGCTTGGGCACCTGAGCTAGGATATATTGCTTGTTCCATTATAAAGTCCTCGTAAATGGTAAATATTCCTCATTAAAATTAACTCACTGTAGCAGGGCATTGGTGGCGCACGCCTTTAATCCCAGCACTCGGGAGGCAGAGGCAGGTGGATCTCTGTGAGTTCGAGACCAGCCTGGACTACCAAGCGAGTTCCAGGACAGCCTCCAAAGCCACAGAGAAAACCCTGTCTCGAAAAAACCAAAAAAAAAAAAAAAAGGTTAACTCACTGTTGATGTTAGAATATAGAGACCAGGCACAGCCTATAAGTGGTACATGTCACGAGACTCTACAGGGAGGGAGTAATATTAGAACTCAAAGGAATGAGGTGCCATTTCTAGCTGCTAGGATCAGTGTCACCTCCCAGTCGAGAAGGTGGCCTCAGAGACAGGAGAAAATTGAGAAAAGGAGCGGAATCCCTTTACACGAGGGGACAGTTCCCTACACCCCACACCCTGCAGCGAGCTGTCACCTGTATATGATGATGTTCACGTAGCAACTGTCCCTCTGGAAGCAGGGGCTCATCAGGATTTCATCACCTCGGGTGAAGCGCACCTCCACAGGGAAGTGGGCTACCACATTGGGGTGAGCCTCCAGCATGGCCTTCAGCTCCAGTAGAGCCTCCTTGGTCTTCTCCCTGCCCTCAGCCCAGGAGAGACCTTGGAGTAAGAAGAGGCTACCCAATCCTCCTACGTGGTTCAATAAATGGCTCCCAGGGAACCTCAGCCCGGGGTGCTCGTGGCATTGGGGACTCCCAGCTCTAGAGGGACCCGTTTTTCACGGCAGGCCTGGGGGAGTGCGCTACCTGGGGATGGCCCAGTCTTGGACATGCTGCTTGAAGCGACATTCGTAGGTGAAGATCTTGTGGCTGAGGTTGCTGCTCTCCTTCTTGTGGCTGAACAGCAGCCAGAAGAAGAAGCGGTTGATCCAGCCCACGAGGCATGGCAGGTAGGTGCTGCAGACAGGGGACAGGCAGAGGGGGCGGGGCCAGCCATTGCTGTGTGTCAGCTGTGGGCTGAGTTCTTTTCACACCAGACCCTCACTCTTCACTCCTACTCTCCTAGTGGTCTTGTTGGATCCTGGCAGGGCCAGCACGGTGTTGGTCTGGGTAGGGACAGCGGTCACTTTACCTCACCTTTTTCCTCCCGCCAGCCCTTAAAGACTGTGCAGTGTTGCTGGGCTGTGGTAGTGCACACCTTTAATCCCAGCACTCAAGAGGCAGAGAGTCAGGCAGATCTCTGTGAGCTCGAGGCCAGTCTGGTCTACAGAGCGAGCTTCAGACAGGCTCCAAAGCTACAGAGAAACCCCATCTTGAAAAAACAAAAACAAACAAACAAGACTGCGTGCAGTGTCTTGTAAGTTAGTACCACACAGTGACAAATGTCCATGTCTCAAAGCTAAGGCAAGGTGGAGTGAAGTTTTAATTTCGGCGGGTGCCTGCCAGCATTAGCTCCATAAAGAATGTGGTGGCGCACGCCTTTAATCCCTGCACTCGGGGGGCAGAGGCAGGCGGGTCTCTGTGAGTTCAAGGCCGGGCTGGACCAACAGCCTCCAAAACAATACAGAGAAACCCTGTCTTGTAAAACCAAAAAAAACCAAAAAACAAAAAACAAAAAAAAGAATGTGCTATTCACTCTCCTTCTACACCCTGGGAGCCTTGATTCAATGCTGCCAAGAGTTAACTGCTAAAAGGGGAAGTGTCCTGGGAGAGGGTCTTGGCTTAGACTCTTGTCCCTAGACACAATGCTAGGAGTTCCCTGGGGAACTGTACAAAGAGGCTCAGTGCTTCTTTTTTTTTTTTTTTTTTTTTTTTTTGGTTTTTCGAGGCAGGGTTTCTCTGTGGCTTTGGAGGCTGTCCTGGAACTAGCTATTGTAGACCAGGCTGGTCTCGAACTCACAGAGATCCGCCTGCCTCTGCCTCCCGAGTGCTGGGATTAAAGGCGTGCGCCACCAACGCCCAGGAAGCTCAGTACTTCTTGGGCCAAGACACAATTGCCTCCTAGCTTTTGGCTCTAGAAAGTTCACACGCTATTTTTTTTCAAGACAGGGTTTCTCTGTATTGTTTTGGAGGCTGTCCTGGAACTCTGTAGACCAGGCTGGCCCCGAACTCACAGAGATCTGCCTGCCTCTGCTCCTGAGTGCTAGGATTAAAGACATGTGTCACCAATCCTGACTCACATGCCATTGTTTAAGACTCTCTCTCTCTCTCTCTCTCTCTCTCTCTCTCTCTCTCTCTCTCTCTCTCTCTCTCTCTCTCTCTCTCTCTCTCTCTCTGTCTCTCTCTGTCTCTCTCTCACACACACAGAGACTTGCTCTTTGGCTGGTGGTGCTTTCAAGAGGTAATTAGATCACGAGGTGGGTGCTACCTTTATCAGTGGGTTGACACGCCGGTGATTTCACAGTTGTGAGGACTATCAGATGGTGGGGCTCGGTTGGAGGAATAGGTCACTAAGAGTGTGTCTCTGACTGTGTGTCTACCCACAGACCTTTCCTTTCTCTGCATCCTGCCTGCTGTGTGGTGGTCACTACTATGCCCTCACCATTGTGAGTCTCTGCCTTAGTCCCACAGTAGTGTCGTCAATGTCCATGGACTGGACCCTCTGAACTCATGAGCCAAAATAAATCTCCCTTCCTTTAGGATGACTTTCCCAGGGGTGTTGTCATAGCAACAAAAAACTGACTGACATTTAGAATCTGCCCACCCATCAACCAAAACGCCCATCTACCCATCCACCAAATTGCCCATCTGCCGCCTTTCCCACCTCTACCCCCACTGACTTGTTACAGGCACTGCTCAAATAGACTCATCCCTCTCTTCCTCCCATCTTATTTCCTCCTGCCTTTCCTGGTCCACTGGCTCACAGCCCCCAGGGTGCCTTATTCTCCTTCAAATCCTTGTAATGACTTTCATTGCCCTTAGAATGCACCCGAAGCTCTCCAGGTGATTCCAATGTGCAGCCAGAGCTGAAACCACCGCTCTGAACCCAGGAGGCTGACCCAGTTTGCAGGTGTAAAGGCAGGGCCTCTTTTGATTGAATGCATCCTCCACAGCATACAGAAGATGGGACAGAGGCCCCATGGCATTCCTACCTGATCCAGAGCAAGAACTCCAATAGGTAGAACCCAATGGCATAGTCCCAAAACCAATTAGATGCAGAGGAGGGGGCCTGGGAGGGATAAGGTATTATGAGTTAGGCACCAGGAACTCAACTTCTTTCTGACTTCTTTATTACGATGTTCCATTAGAAGACTGCTGTGGAATGTTATGTTAAGATGTGTTACATTCATTTATGCTATGGAATACGTGTTTAATGATGCGAAGATGTGTTGTAGTCTTTTGTGTTGGATTTGTTTAACTCTGGGAAACTGTTACTTTGCTGTCTAAAACAACTGATTGGCCTAATAAGGAGCTGAATAGATAGGCAGGAGAAAGGATAAATGGGGCTGGCAGGAAGACAGAATAAATAGGAGGAGAAATTTGGGAAGAAAAGAGAAAGGAACAAGAAAAAGAAAGAGAGAGGACACAAGGGGCCAGCCACCCAGCCAGGCACAGAATAAGAGCGAAAGGAAGTAAGAAAAGGAAAATGCCCAGAGGCAAAAGGTAGACAGGATAAGAAAAACCAGCTAGAAACAAGCCAAGCTAAGGCTGGTGAGCATTCATAAGAAAGAATAAGTTATTTGGGAGCTGAGTGGTGGGCCTCCCAAAAGAGCAAAGAATAAAAAGGGTAAAAAACAACCAATTACAGAAGACATGTCCCAGGAGGACTTTCTGTTGAGAAGGAGGGAGGAAAGTGAGATGACCCACCCAGCAGGACAACTGGAAGCCTTATTTCTCCATGGAGAGCTAATTTCCACCAAGTGGGTCTCAGGAATTAACTCAGGCCAGCAGGCTTGGCAGCAAATGTCTTTTCCAAGTGAGCTATCTTCCCTGGCCTGCATTTATTTTTCATAAGACAAATATACCACCTGTCCCTCCCCCCTTGAGAGCCCATGATCCAGGTGTTCATCAGCCACCCTTTACAAATCCTACACTGCCCCCTCTACACAGTAGGACTTGGGATACCACTGGCATTCATTTTTAGATTATGGCTTTTTAAACCTTGCATGCGTGTTTATATATGCACCTATGCACATGTGGAGGTCAAAGGTCAATACTGAATGTTTTCTTTAGTCTTTCCATCTTAATTTTTTAGGCAATCTCGCACTGAACCTGGAGCTTGCCAAGTAGCTAGACTGACTGAGCAGCCAGACCCAGGATTCCTCCTGTCTCCACTTCCCCAGAGCTGGGATAACAGCTGTGTGCTACCACCCTCTAGCTTCTTTTTATTTATTTGTTTTTTTCTGGATGCTGGGGATCAAACATGGGTCCTCATGCTTGCATGGCAAACATTTTATCAACAAAGCCAACACCTTAGCTGGTAAGTGATGGCTTTGTTGTGGAATACAATATTACTTTAACTATATAAAATGTGTTACATTTGTTTATGCTGCATTTGTTACATCATATAAAGATGTGTTTCTGTTTTACCTTGCCTGCCTAAGGCACCTGATTGGTCTAATAAAAAGCTGAACAGCCAATATCTAGGCAGTAGAAGAATAGGTGGGGTGGTCATCAGAAAGAATAAGTAGAAGCAGGAATCTAGGCTCAAATGAAGAAGGAGAGAATGAGGGAGAAAGAGAGCGAGTTGCCCAGGCATGGAGTAAGACATACAGAATGAAAGAAAGGTAAAAAGCCGAGGCAAAATATAGATGAAGAGAAACAGCTTAATTGAAGTTATAAGAGCTAGTGGGTCAAGCGTAAGCTAAGGCTGAGCATTCATAACTAATATTAGTCTCTGAGTCGTGATTTGGGGGCTGGTTGGTGGCCCAAAAGAAAGCCTGCTACATTTGTTTCCTTCTGCTGAGAAGCCCCTTATTTGCAAGGCTGTGAGAACAGCAGACAAAATTTTGTCTCTTCAATGAAGTGGAGGTGTTACAGGAGTGCATGAAGGATGCTGTGTGGTCCAGTCCAGCTGTCTGACACTCAGATCCATCCATCCTGCCTTCTCCTGTGTGCACTTCTTTTCCCTGTGTCTCTCCCCCACATCTAGGTTTTCCCTTTGAGGCACTGGACCCCAATTCATCCACCTTCCTTCCCACCTTCACCTCTGTCTCTTCCTCTCTTCGTGTTCAATGGCAATCCCATTTCCTTGGCCATCAGGACAAAGGTCAAGTGCTCTGGGATGGGGAGGGTGTGCAGGCTGTGGGTGTGTGAAGATGGAGTGTGTGTGTGTACGATAGTGACCAGCAGCCCCCTGCTCCAGGATGCTGGGAAAGGTTGGGCCTGACCCGCAGTTACCTTATTGGTGTGGTCTTGGTAGATGATGTTGACATTCTCACTGTGAGGAAACCAGTGGAAGCGGAAGTATTCTGACTTCTTGAGGTGGCTGTCCAGGTTGTCCAGCACCTGGTACAAGAGGGAAGCAGGCTAGATGATCTTGACTGTCAATTTGATTTGACTGAGAAACATCTAGATTAGTGAAGCTCACCTGGATGGGTCTGTGGGAGTGTCTCCAGAGATGATTAGATCATGCAGGCTCTGGCCAAATCAACCGAGTCAGGCTCTTTTCTATTCTTTAGCTTTTTGAGACAGGGTTTCTCTGAGTTAACAGTCCTGGCTGTCCTATAATTTGCCTTGTAGACCAGGCTGACCTCAAACTCACAGAGTTCTGTCTGCCTCTGCCACCTTTGTCCTGGGATTAAGGGTGTGAGCTGCTGCCACCACCACCTGGTCAACCCAAGCTCTTGATGGGCTCATAATATGAAGGCATTATGGGAAAGCAATGGGTCAGAGGTAGGGTATAACTCTGGTACCCTCTTCCTCTGCTTCCTGCTGTGCTCTCCCTGCCGTGATGGGCAAAATGCCCTGAAACTGTGAGCTAAAAGAAACCCTTCCTCCTTTAAGATGTGTCCGCCACACATTCTTGACCATTATGAAAAAGAAACTAGTCCAGGGAGAGGCTGTTAGTCACAGGAAGAAGTCAGTAAAGCCAAGTCAAGACCTAGGTGTGTTCTAGTTTATTTTGAATAGAAGAAAATACTGGAGTTGTTTTAATATTACCAAACAGCTTGGTATAGGTCTTAAATATGCTGGATGTTGGGCTGGAGACATGGCTCAGCAGTTAAGAGCACTGGCTGCTCTTTCAGAGGTCCTGCGTTCAATTCTCAGCAACCACATGATAGCTCACAACCATCTATAAAGAGATCTGGTGAGCCGGGTGTTGGTGGCGCACGCCTTTAATCCCAGCACTCGGGAGGCAGAGGCAGGCGGATCTCTGTGAGTTCGAGGCCAGCCTGGTCTACAAAGTGAGTTCCAGGACAGCCTCCAAAGCCATAGAGAAACCCTGTCTCGAAAAAATAAAAAAACAAACAACAAAAAAAAGAGATCTGGTGCCCTCTTATGGCCTACAGGCATACATGCAGGTAGAACACTATAAATAATAAATAAATCAATCTTTTAAAAAAGAAAGCCAGAAGGTTTCCTTTATAAAAAAAATATATGCTGGATGTTAAAATCACTCACATACACTTTGACTTACCCAAGTAGCTTAGAGGTGATAAATGACATCTTACCCTAGCTTAAGGAATTATTAGTGGTATGTATAAACTGGGGTCAATGTGAGTAGCAAATGGGGTTGTTATAATGATTAAATGACACAATATGGCAGAAAGTACTTAAAGCAGTACCAGGCACAAGGGAGTCACTTCATATGCCTCAAACCCTGCATCTAGTATTACAGCTTCTATGCTGATTGCTGTCACTGTCATCATCACCATCTTCCTCACCATCATTATGTTTAACTTCATTACCATCACTATCATCATCATCACCACCACCATCATCTTTGCCTTCATCATCGCCATCACTATCGTCCTCATGCCTGTCACCATCATTTTCATCATCTCATCTCTTACACACAGCAGATCCTAATACCACTCATTACTGCCTAGTTTGAGATACTATCACAGCATGAATAATGTCTCCATGGAACCCAGCAGGCAGATGCAGGACAAATTTAGAACCCAGACTATAGATAGGTTTTGGCTGTGGGTTGAGGAAGAGTCCTGGTCTTGGAATGGGTTGTCTGGATTGAGCTCTAGGATCCCAGCAGCAAATGTAATGGCACTATTTTGTAGACTCTGGATCTTGAGAGGCGTATCCACTAATCTTTCCTCTTTGAGTGGCTCTATGATTCACAGGCAACAGTGTCCTTTATGACACTGAGTGAGAGGCTGCTGGATGCCTGGTCTCACCCATTACAAAGAGAGCTCTTTCCCATCCAAGTTCATAATTTTTTTCATATGAGTATGCATGTGTATATTTATGCTTTCATGTGATCATGCAGGTATGAGAGTACATTATACATGCAATTGTCCGTGTGTGTGCATGAGTGTGCATATGCACATGTGTGGGCTTATGTGCATGTTGAAGTGGGAGAGGCAGCCTAAGATGAAACTCTAATAGACCCAAGATTTGTCTGTAATTGTTTTAGTGCTGCTGAATTAGGTCAAAGGAAACAAGACAAACAGGTGGTAGGAGACGTCCATTTGCCCAGCTCTGGTAGAGTAATGGAAACATGGGGGCTGATGCTCATCCTCTACAAGGAAGAATGAGTACTTTATCAAAATCTCCAGATTAAGCATCAGTACATTCTAGCTGGACTTGGAGGCAGGACAAAAGATTCAACAATGCAGCATGCCAGATTACAACCTCTTTCTGATGGAACATGGTCCTAGCTGCCCTTCCCTTTCTGGCCTGTGATAGTCCTTCTCTCCTTAGCCTGGAAGACTCCTCTGCAGCTGTCCTCACAGAGGTCAGCAATGGCCTCCTGGGATTGGTTGACCTGGATATTGATCTGACCCCCTAAAGCATTCTGTGGACACCCATTACCTATTGCTTTGGGAACCCTACCCTCTCCTCACCATCTTCATTCCTGTCTAGCTAACCCCTCTGTATGCTCCCATCAGCCAAATGTTCTGTCTTCAAAGGCCCCTTTCTTTCACAAAAGCCCACTTTTGGGGTGTAATGGACCCTCATATTGATCAATTTCCTAGGGTGATGAAGCTCTCTACCACTGGCTGAACTGTGTCTATTAGATTCCTGTACCGAATCCCTAACCTCTTTTCCTTACAATATGACCATGTAGAGACCGGGCCCAGATCTAAGCCTGTGGTGCCTTCCATGGTAAGAGAGTCCTGGCATGTCCTCCATAGGACAGGTGGGAGTCAATGCCCTTAAGAACAACCAGTCCACATTTTCCTGGGGCGGCTCTCTACCCAAACCCCTTCCACAGCCACATGTCAGTAATGCCTGAGGTTCTTCTGGGTCTTAAAGCCCATCAGGGTTCTGACCACAGTCTCTCTTGGGCCAAGAAAGAAAAGTGTGGTGAAGTGAGACACCCCCCCACACCTCCTTGAGCGCACCAAAGGTCCTGAGGGTGGAACCCCTGGTCAGGACCTCCATCTGCTTTCTGAGGGTGGGCAGACTAGTACCTCCTTGAGGGTGGAAGGAAAGGACGTCTCCTGCAGCTGGAACTGTGACACGCACTGCAGGGTCACGGTGAGGATGACGCCCAGACAGCCTAGGTGCACCCGTGCAGCCTGGAACACATCTGCGTTGCTTGACTCAGAGCATTCCAGAACTGCCCCATCAGCCGTCATCAGGGTCAGGGCCACCACCTGGCAGTGGGAGAGGTGTCACACTTAATATCCCCGCTCAGAATCATCACCCCACTTTCTGGCTTGTCCTCACAACAGAGGCCAGGTAGCTCCTGCTCCCAGGGGCTACCATGGTCAGTCACACAACTTCCTAGCCAGGTCCATTGTTAATATGTGAGAGGGGATTCTGGGAATGGGGGGGGGGACGGGTGAGGAATGCTGCATCTGGTATTAGCGCTCAGTTCTCAGTAGAGTGGAGCCCATCATCATGTGATATCACATGGGACCCTGCTGGCTTGGCTTGTCCTCCATCATTCTGTGGCCTTGGACAAGGAGCAGCTAGCCTCCGCAGCTTAGAGATGCTCTGGGGACACAGGCTCCCAGGAGAGATGCTTGACAAGGCCAAGTGAACACATATGTGCCCTGAGATGGGACAGTGGATTGGGATCCCAACAGCCTTGTCCAAGCATGTGGAGTCTTCCTCTTCAATAGAGGACTCTTTCTCCTGAGGAAATGCATTCTCCTGCTTAGCCTCACCTCACCAGAAAGTTTGGGTCTCTGTGAGTATTGAGGCATTTGGTTGCAAACTGATGGAGGTTCCCAAGGCCCCCACTTCCAGAAGGGCTCTCTCTCTCTCTCTCTGCACTCTGCTACCTGCTAATTTGGATGGAAATAGCTTCTGATGTGTGCAGTTGTGGTTGGCTGCTCAGGGAGAGGACAGCCACAGCTGAACTAATCCTAATTAACAGTGACCAGAGAGCAGAGAGGAGGAACTGACAGAAATGGGACACTGTGGCCAGCTGTGGTGGGAGGGGCATCTCGGTATTCGTTACAGAAGCTGGACGCTGTTGAAGATTCAGAGCCTTGAAAATAGTGTGCCTGTGAGATGCTTCGTAAGCATCTAAAGGCCTGCGAAGGGTAGGGCTTTGCAGTAACTGCTGTGACCTCGCCTGATGCTAGCCCTAACTGCCTGGGAAGGTAGGAGATCAAGCGGGAAGCCTGTGAGCAGCCTCCTGCTGTAAGCCGATGAGATGCCAGAGCTGTTCACCCTGTCTCCTGGCCTCTGTAGCTTTACTTGAATCTGAAATGCTCCCCAAAGTTACATGTATTAGCGTCTTGGTTGCCAGCTGATGGGTATAGGGGAAGCCATTAACTCCTGACAGATCTAACCTCAGTGATCCACGGGTTGACTAATTTGATGGAGGTTGTGAAAAATGAAGACTTGGGGTCTAACCGGAAGAAGTACATTACTGAGGGGAGTGCCCTGGAAGGGCCTCTCCTGTCGCTGACCCCTTTTGCTGTCTCCCATTCTGGCTGCTGTGTGGTAGCTAACTTTCCTGGGTCATGCTTTTCCTTCAAAACCATTGAGCAAAAATATACTTCTCCGGGGCTGGAGAGATGGCTCAGAGGTTAAGAGCACTGACTGCTCTTCCAGAGGTCATGAGTTCAATTCCCAGCAACCACATGGTGGCTCACAACCATCTGTAATGAGATCTGGTGCCCTCTTCTGGTGTGTAGATGTACATGGAGGCAGGGTGTTGTGTTTGTAATAAAAAAAAATAAATCTTAAAAAAAATATACTTCTCCGTCTTGAAGCTGATTTTCCTCAGACATTTTGTTATAGTACCAAAAATGACCAATCTAGTTGCCAACAGCCTGACTGTAACACAGAACAAGTCCTCCCCTTTGATTCCAGGCCAGCTCAGTGGGGCTTCCAAAGAAAAGTAATCGATGAATTCTATGTGCATTTTTGAGTGGCCATTGTAGGTTAATTTTACACCCTGATTATCAGTGTGTAGCAGCAGACATTGACCATCTTAACATCTGTCCTAGATAGTGAAAAGAACAGGGCTCCTATCTTGGGAGCAGTGCCTATATCCCCAGTTACCACTGGGCCCCTTGGCTAGTGAGCCCAGCTTTGAGATGGCAATGGCCATGGAGAAATCCAAGTCGACAGTGTGGAATTGAAGGTGCTTGGCTTCAGAAAGGCTGCTCCCGAGGCAGGTACCTCTGAATTGCTGCTTCCTGATCTTCATTTTTTGTTCTCTCCCTGTGGGTTGGACTATCTTCATTTTAGCTGAGGATTTTGACAGCAATGTACCCAGCAGCTAGGGACCCTCCCCAGTGTGGACAGGGTGTGATGGATTAACACGTGTTTGTTTTTTAAAATGAAGGACAGGCAGACTCTGACACAAGTTACCCCTACGCCTTCCCCAGACCCTACCTCCACTACTGCCCTGCGGTAGCCCCATCCCCTGCCTGGTTCCTGTTTATAACTTCCAATGGAGTTGGTACCCCTTGTTCTGTGCTGCCTATGAGGATGCAGGGTTGGGATGAGAGTGTCCCTTGGGATGGCTAGAGCACTGACAAGCCAGGGGCTCCTTCAGGCCTGATGAGGTTGAGGGCAGGAAGTTGTGTTTCTGGGGGCACTGTCAGGTGTCTCAGGCCCATGCAGAGATAGCTCTAACCTGCCGTGGACACAGGAGACTCACCTGGGTGGCCAGGATGCCATGCTTGATCCCTGTGTTATGTGTTCCAGATCCAATGACGCCAGCAATTGTCACATCAGACACTGCTCCTAGACTGGGCTCAGCAGGTAGAGCAAGAGGGACAGAAATCAGTCAGACTTCTCAGGACAATGGGAGCCCCAGGTGAAGTACATGCTCCCTAGGACCGAAGGCCCTCTTTTCCAGACAGGGTTTCTCTGTATTGCTTTGGAGGCTGTCTTGGAACTTGCTCTGTAGACCACAGAGACTCACGGAGATCTGCCTTCCTATGCCTCCTGAGTGCTTGGATTAAAGGGGAGAACCCCCTCTTCACCTTGGATGGCCCAACTTGTGGTCAGCTCATCTTTCTGGGCCTCAGTTCCCTGATCTCCATGGCCAGCAGATGAGCGGTTTGCAGCGAGGCTTAGCTGTTTAGCCTTTGAGGCCTGCAGCCTAGCAGGCCCTTTCCTTAGCCTTTGAGGCCTGCAGCCTAGCAGGCCCTTTCCTTAGCCTTTGAGGCCTGCAGTCTAGCAGGCCCTTTCCTCTAACTACCAAAGGCACCCTGAATTGGAAAGGCAGATCTCTGAGAAAGGGGTACACCCTGAGAAGTGACTGTCTCACTGCCACATCCTTGAGTGTGGGGCCCAGAGCAAAGAGGGGAGAGCGGCCCTGGCCCACCCTGGGCAAGAGGAGGGCCCTTACTTGGACATGGCCAGGCCATGCTTGTCCAGCTGTGGGTGGAGGTCGGTCAGGAGGATCCCAGCTTCCACTGTTACCTGCTTCTTCTCCTTGTCCACCTGCAAGAGCCAGCACAGGCCGGGAGGGTTAGGCCACACACAGGCCCTTGCTCCCCGCTCAGACCCCTCTGGAATGTGAGTATGGCTATCCTAGCCTGTGGCCAGCTTGAGCACTCTTCTATCTAAAAGGGGGTAGGTACTGAGCCCAAGAATGCTGGAACATTGGGTGAAAAATTTGTTTTTTGAAACAGAGTCTTACTAGGTAGCCCAGGCTGGCTCAAACGTGCAGTTCTCTTGCATCCACCTTCCAAGCGGAGGGTTACAGATGCCTCAGTTCTGTACAGATGCTGGTGTCACCAAGTCAGCTCTTTATTTAGTATTGTAAACGGGACCCGAGCCTTTGCCCATGCTGGGCAAACACCCTCTGCTGAGCCTCACTTCTTCTGGGATGTTCTATGCAACTGTTCTTCTCACAGGTGAAGGAAATAAGAGCCAGAGAAGTGAAGAGCTTTGCCCAGGGACTCTTGAGCTAGGATGGTCACACCCATGTCCTCACCTTGTCCACACTGGCAAACTGGGACAGGGCCTGTTGCCACAGGACCTGGCTGTGCTATTGGGAGGACAAAGTCTCAGGCTAATCTCACCCTGGAGATCTGGGCAATGGCCAAGGGAAGGGAAGAGAAATGTCTAAACACGACTTTCTGCTGGGTGTCTGCACTGGCCATGTCAGGGTGAGAGCCTGAGAGCCAACGGCAGCACAGGGCCTATATATACCAAGATCTAAGGTCATGCAAACAGAGAAGTCGGTGACAGAGCTGGGGTGAGAGTCCACATCCGCCCAACTACAAGCACTCGCTCGCCCGTCCAGCCACCCAGGGCACAGAGCTCGGAAAATCAATTGCTGAAGCCCAGTCTTCACGAATTAGCAATCAGAATTAATTACTGCCATGACTAAGAGAAAGAGCCCGCCAGTGCAAGCTGCAGTTGAGAAGCCTAGGTCATCGCTAGCTGGCTGCAGGGAGGGGGAGCATCCCGTGGAACTCAGCTAGCTGACCAGCCCCGGCAGGTAAGGACTACAAGTCCTAAGCACACAGTCCTGGAGTCCCACGTGCCTGAGGGGCAAGTGGGTGCTGGCTGAACTGCAGGGACAGTATTCCAACAGAGAGCTAGTGGCGGTGCTGAGTCTGGGTTCAGCTTTGCCGTTGTTAGCTGTGTGATCACAGGCAAGTCACAGATCTTTTCTCTATTTGTAAGCCTAGTTCAATGTCACTTGAGATTCTTCTGGATCAGTCACTGTGAGTCTACTCTTTTTTTTTTTTTTTTTTTTTTTTTTTTTTACAGACAGGGTTTCTCTGTATTGCTTTGGAGGCTGTCCTGAAACTCACTCTGTAGACCAGGCTGGCCTCAAACTCACAGAAATCCACCTGCCTCTGCCTCTTGAGTGCTGGGATTAAAGGCATGCGCCACCACTGCCCGGCATGAGTCTACTCTTTGGGAGTCTGTTTCTCCACACTTCTTTGAATGAAGCAGAATGGAAGTTATAGCAAAAGTTGGGGAGACATCTTCTCTGTGACCACAAAGGGCCAGACAGACTTGACAAGCGGCCTGAGCAAGCCCAGGGAGCGCTCAGGTGACAGTTGCTTAGGGGAAGGCCAGGCATGAGGGTGTCACTCTGATGACACAGAGCAGGAAGGGGCTAAGGACTAAGAAAAAGGCTGAGAGATTTCACGCGTGGAGTCTGGGACACAGGCTGTGGCTATCCAGCTTAGGAACAAGCAGGGAGAGGAGACGAGGGCCGCAGTACCTGGAGAACCCGATTCATCTTGCCCATGTGGATCATGAAGCCGTCAGTGCAGGCGATGTCTGAAGGGGAGTGGCCACCACCCACCACCTTTACTCTCTTGTTCTGCTGCCGAGCCAGGGTCAGCACCTGTGGAGACAATGCCAGTGTAGACAGCAGGGCTGGGGAGACGTTGCAGGGGGAGCCTTTGGCATTAGTGGACCCTGCCTAGCTCAGAGAGCCAGACAGAGGGACTTAGATGCAAGCTGGGACAGAAAGTCACTGTCCTTCTAGTCTGTGGTCCTCATTCCTCCTACTTCAGCTCCAGACCTTCTCTCCATTTTGGTTCTAGACAAGATCTTGCTATGTGGTCCAAGCCTGTCCTCTAGTTTGTGATCTTCCTGCCTCCCTAATGGTGGAATTACAGAGTCACCACTTGGGACAATTGGAGGAACCCTCTTTTTGAGACCTATATAGCCCAGGCTGGCCTCAAACTCACTGTGTAGTCAACGCTGGCCTTGAACTCCTGATCTTCCTGCCTCCTTAGTGCTAGAATCATGGCATATATAGCCAGGCTGCTATGTGCAGCACTGGGGATTGAACTCAGGGCTCCATGCATGTCAGGCAAGCTCTCTATCAGCTGAAGTAGATCTCTAACCAACCCCAATCTAAGCTTTTAAAAGGCAAATCCCACTGCATTCCTCAACAATCAAAAACTTCTGAAGATGTTCTAGAGACAGGATAGGACCCAACTGCTTCAACATGGCTTCGAGGACCCTTACTTAGTCTACCCCTACACTTCAGTAAAGGCCTCTAGAGAATGGTGACTGTGGCAGACTGTGACCTATCCCAGGGCTGGCACAGGTAGATACTGTCTGGAGATAAGCACGTGGTTCCAATGGGACTTAAGTGAATCCAGTTCCTTTCTCCTCGTGCCCATGCTCAGACACGTTCTGGGAACCCACGTTTTACAAGCTGTATCTATCACAAAGCCTTCATTGGCAACTGAAAGTCGACTGAGAAATGCAGACTATACCGCCTGATCCTCCCACGGTACATTTTAGGCTGAGGCTGAGCAAGACATTGTGTCACACCACAAGCCTGGAGCTGCTTGGCCATGTACCTATTTTCATTTTCACTGGGTTTTGCTGGCCCTCCAAGGAGACACTACCTCACCCTGTTAGTACCACAAGGCCATGTGGACTAGCACATCCTGGAAACCATCTTCTTGGGTAGCTATGCCAGAAGCACACTGTTGGCTCCCTCCCTCATCCCCTAATTGCCCAAGCTCCGTCAAAGCCACTTTTCTTTAGTGCCAGCTTCTCACCCATTCCTGGTGCTCCTTTCTTGTCTCTTAGGGTGCAGTCCTCAGTCCCTACACTAATGTCCTTATCCAGTAACCCTGATTCCTCTTAGAAAGTCACCTCATGTGAGTGTAAATGTGAGTCTATGCATGCGTTTGTGCGTGCACAAGCACTCATGCATATACGTACATGTGTACAAGCCCAGGTACATATACGTGCATAGATGTATGTATGTACGTACAGGCCTACATGAGCAAGTGCATAGGCCTAAGTGCATATATATGCATAAATGCGCCATTTGCCCAGGTATCTGTGCATAGACCTATTTGTGTGCATGCGCATAGATGTATGCCTATGCATAGATATATGGAAAAGTGTGTGCATTTGCAGTTGTATGCAGAGGCCTATGTATGCACATGCACGGGTCTGCATGCATATATGTTCATGAATATGCATGTACACATGTGTGTGCATGCACGTGCACAAGTGTGTGCTTATAGTTCATTGCAGAAGCCTGAGAGGGGAGTGCCGACATGCCTGCCCTTGACACACTACTAGGCGGGCTTGGGGTGGGCATGGCAAATTGCAACAGGCTGATGGGCAGACTTGGAGCTGGGGAAAGCAGAAAGAGGAGCTCTGCGTTTACCCAACTAGGCCAGCAGTTAGGGACTGAGGTAGGCTTGGGTCAGGAAGTCCCACATGTGCCTGTGTTCTAGGGCCAGGGCTGTGGCTGCAGGCTGGGCAGCCCAAGTGGTGTTGATGGACCCACCTCTCTGACCTCCTCCACTGAGGTGGGCTGGTAGTACATCTCTGGACAGCAGCCATAGGTCTTCGCCCAGTTTTGGAACTGGACCCCTTTATACCCATGAACCTGTACCAGGAAGAAAGCCAGGTCTCAGTGGGTGAGCAGCCACTCTGTCCTAACTGTATGTTGCCAAATCATCAACCCCATGCCCCATCACAAAGGGGGGAGGACATGGCCACACCAGCTCTCTTTGGCCTCCTCGGGTTCTCGGGTCAGGGCCACTTAGGAAGATCAAGGGATGGCGGCTGCTCTGAAGCTGGCGGCCAACACAGGGCTTCCAGATGTTATCTTGTGATTCCCTCCTGATCAGACAGATGGGAATTCTGCCCATTCTGAGGCCAAGGGGACGGAGTTTAATAAGCCAGGACTCAGGTCAATCTCTGCTCCAGGCACATTGTTGGTGGCCTCACAGATAAGCAGATTAGAGTACTACAGACCAGTAGGACTGTAGGCAAAGAGCTGGCAGAGGGGCCCTGGAGGCAAGGGCTGGGGTCTGGCTTCCCTAGAGGGAAGGGGTGCGTCTCGGGGCAATATCGTCTTTTTAGCCTCCAGCCTAGGAATCATAATTCCGTTTGTTGCACACCACTGTAATACCCAGCCAGGCTGGGCCTATGTGTCATATCTTATTAGATCTTTACAATAATGTCGCCAAATAGAGAATATCAACCCTCCTTCAGCTGCCAAAAACCAAGGCTCAGAGAGGTAAAGGGTCTCCCTCAAGTTTGCAGAGGCCCAATGAAGGTGTGAAGAGTCCAACCTAGACCGTCCACTCTCATAACTCTTCAAACACCAACAGTCCCCCAAGTGCACTTGAAGAGTTCCCATGGCCCCAGCCTTGGTCAGGCTTTGCCCTCCCACATCTGGCTCACAGCTGGCCTAATCCACTGGCTGCATCACGGGACCCTACCATTCCTACCATGGTTCCAGCCGTCCGCGGTGTTAGACGACTTGAAGCGTCCCCAAAGAAAGTCGAACAAAGACGTAGGCAATAGGTGCAGTGGTCAGGCAACTTGAACTCTGGGTTACCTCAGGCAGAATGGGACTGGATGTCTAGCCACTAAAACCAAGGTACATAAACAGTGCGGGACAGGCTCCTCCCCCTGCAAGATCCAGGCAATCCCTGTAAATAGCAGCTGGGCCCCGCCCCCTGCCTGGGCGCTCCCCCCAGGAAGGCTGAAAAATGAACATTCAACAGCAGCTGCTGTGCTCCTGAAACCCACTGCCTGAGCTCTGAATCCAGCCTTGGGGGTTCGGAGCCAAAAGACACCAGCCTTGCTCTCAGGCTCAGAACAAGCCTGGCTGCCTAGGCCGCTGGCTTTGACACAGTACACCTCATGGGCCCTTCAAAGCCAGGTCTCCATGCAGCCCTGGTACTGAGCCCCCCAAACAGCCTCCTGCTTCACCCTGACCTATGGTGGCTGTGAGAGGCGATTGCTGAGTGACAGTCTAGGGCCATTCAGAAACAGTAACCGCTTTCCTGCTGAAGCAAACACGGCTGTTTTGGTTAAAACTCACAGACTCCTCATTTGGGCCCACAAGGTAACTAAAAACAGGATGAGCCTTACACCTGTCTTCATTGTGTCTCCCCTTTACTGAGGTCATGGAACGTTTTTCATTGGTTTTTGAATATTGAGACAGGACTTCTCTGTGTAGCCCTGGCTGTCCTAGAGCTCACTCTGTAGACCAGACTGGCCTTGAACTCAGAGAAGTACCTGCCTTCAGTGCCAGGATTAAAGGCAGTGCACCATCACACCCAGCCACCTTGGATTCTAAGAACAGCAACACCTCACAATATAGACCACCCTCCAAATTAAGACAGCTATCCATGAAGGTGAGGCTGTGTCCTGGAGCCCAAGGACTCATCTCTTGAGAACTGATATGCTCTTGTGTGGAGGGCAGAGGCCATGTGCACACATAAACGCTGGAGAAGCCTCTCAGGGGAATGAGGTGCATAGCTGCTCTTCCTAGAACACCAGGAATGATAATCGTTTTAGTCTAGTGACTTTGCTGTCTGATGAGACAGGCTCTGCTGTGTCTCCAAAATTTCTGCTTTTACCTACCCAAGACCTTTCCCCCTAAATCTTGAGCACTGCTTTTACACGATAAGACCCAGTCTTATGAGTGATGTCACTTGTGCTATGACAGCCTCAGTGACTTGTGTTATCTTAGGACCAGGTCAATCCCGACATCTATACTCACTGTGTTTACCTCAGTCATGCTAACTAGACCCTTATCTGCTCATTGTTTTTCAGTCCACAAGAACCATGTGTACTTTGCAAAGAGCTTCAATGTAAACATGTCTTCAATAGCTGTGAACTTGGGACTGAGTTAATTGTTATCTGAATACCGTTTTTCCAAAATTGTGCTGTGCTTAAGTGAGGCTAAAGTGAAATGATCTGGGCAGACACTAGGAGTCCTGGGCCAAGTGCTGGTTACCATAAAATCAGCTGAGCCGAGTTTCCTTCTTACCTCACCCTAATTGTCTTTTGCCTGCCTGCTGTAAAGCCCACAGGGGAAATCACCATAGCTGGCACTGCAACATTCAACGCCTGACCGTGGGAGAAGGTAAGGAACGTTTCCTTCAAATAGAAATAGGAAGGTTTAAGAAACTCAGTCCTCTCACCCAAGGAATTGAGACTGAGAGTGGTAACCAACATGGGTTCCTCTCAGTCCTTTGAGACGAAGCTTTTTGTGCAGTAGTTGAGATATTTGTTAAGATCCAAAGGATCAAAGTATTCAGAGTTACAGCTCTGCAACATTATAGGGATAAACCAAAGGGAAGACAACAATCCCCTTTAATTATTCTACAAGCTGGAGTATAGTAATGTATTGCTTGGAACCTCTCACAGGGAGAGAAAGGGGGAAAAAGATAGAAAAAAAGGGAGAGAAAATTTTCTGCCACACATCTTGGAAAGTCTTGGCAGGGAGAACCAAAGGGACCCCAGGGGCTCAGGCTTCCCTGTGGTCACAGAGACATATTGGGGCTCTCGTCCTCCAGAGTGAACTGACTAGAACTCCTATAATCCTGAAAGACCTCGGCATTAAAGCGCCGGGCACTGAACAAACCAAGAACCGGGGCCAGACCACTGGCTGCAAATGCAAGAGGTGATTTATTGAGTACACAGGTGCCTGCGGATGCTACTGCAACTCGGGTGCAGAGCATACCGGGCTTGTAGGGAGTACAATATTTACAGAGTTTTAATGGTTACATAAGTATCAGCATAGCAACAGGCATTTCATTGGCTCATCTTGGGGGCAGGGGTAGTTCCCACGGACTCTTTGAAGGAACAAGGAGCATAGGACATACTCTTCACAAATTCCACGTTGTTCCACAAAAAGATTGTACCCATCCCACCTAATACAACTCAAAAGTCTAAGCTTGCTACAGCCAACCTGCCTTTATTAGATGTTTCTTAACCATGAGATATTTTAACTGACACTGCTATTTATTTAAATTTGGATGGTAGTTTATCAGACAGACTAGGGAAGAACAGTGTCTTCGGTCATGATGGATGGATTTTGACCCTCAGTTTGCACACCCTCAGCCAAACTACTCCCAACTTCAAGCCAACTTTGTCCTGTTTCCTCTTTCACAATTTCTTCCAGCTGGGGTTAGGTCTAAATGCTCCTTTTGATGAGCTGTGTCATCTTTCTAAGTCTAGTGGCATGGTACAATAGCCAGAAAGCCTCTGCTCTGGAGCTTATAGTTGATACTCCCTCCCCAATGGAAGCCAGTCATATCAATGGTATACATTTCTTTTTTGGAACAAAAATAAAAGTACATCAAAAGAAATAAAAATCAGCAAAACTGGTGTACATTACTTAATTTGATGGGTGTTGTCCTCACCATGTGATTGAGGGCCAAGGTTTATTGAATATTCCCTCCTGTAGGAGAGAGCTTATTAAATAGTTGCTGAGTCTTAATATTTTTACAAATACTCTTTGACAAGAAAATCAATGTCTATGATCCAGCATTCACCAAAGGACTGGGGTTATGACCTTTCTTAGACTTGCTTACCCAGAAGAATGAACTCTCATATCATGTGTGCTCTGTAATGGAACATATAGCCTTAGAACAGCTATGCTCTCTCCATGCATATTCTGAAGGGAGATTAGTGCTTTGGGGTCTTCGTGTAGCCCTCCTAGCAGGAATGAGGCTATTCTAAAGAGAGACACGGTACCCCTCTCTTTGACAATCAGGCTATTGGAACAGTGGCCCCCAAGGAACTGAAATTACCCCAGGACTGGTGATGTTATGGTGCCCACCAGAGGAAGACCTTCTTTCTCAGGATGGGTCTTTCCAGCTTGTCAGTTCACCTTTCTTGAAATAAGGTAGTTACTCCATATGGTCTGACATAGTTTTTCAGGTTGTGCCTTGTCCTCAGTGACTCCATTTTGCAAGTAACAGCTGGCTCTGTTTTGAGGATGGAAGATGGCTTCACTGTGATGGACATATAAGCAACACAGTGAGTCCCTAGCTGAGCATCAGACACTGGTGACATAACTCCTGAAAGCAGAAGTGCTGCCATCTTATACATTTATCCAAGTGGATTGGGACCAGATGAACACATGGTGTATTAATATTAATATTAATAAAACCAAACCTGAGAACCCTTTGAACACACCAGACTAAGAAAGGGTACGGCTTCCCTGGACCCCATAAAGAAGTGGACACCTAACATTGAAATGGTGACAAACCATACTGACGTGTCATCAGGCCATCCAGTGCGTGCATCAAGGGACCAACAGGCTGACAAGTCCTAGACAATAGGCAGATAACCCACCAAGATATGGCCTACTTGCATTTCTGCACATGCATTCACCTAGCCCGCCTGTCACCTCTACAACCTCCAGCGTACATTGCTTCTGCAGGTCAGCTCTGACCTTGCAGCCTGGGTCTATGTCTCTGGTGGCAGCAGCAACCGCAGACCTGAAGCCTGATTTGTTTCCTTATTCCTGAGGCTATTTTCTGAGCATCCCTATCAGTTTCAGCATCCCAGGCCTCTTTGAGACTCCTAGGGCTCTATTGGGGTCTCTTTAGCCCTCCACAGCCACAACTTAGACTAAATACATGTGTGTTTATAGATACAGATACATTTGCTACCTGAGAATTACCTGAGAATTAGTAAGAAAAAGAACATCTCTGCCAATCAAATTGATGTTCCTTGTGACTTTATTATTACCACTGTGTTCTGACATTGTGAAAAACACTAACATATTTGTGTATGCTTCTGGCATAGTGTGCTCGTGCCAACCTGATAGGAGACCACACCATGTAATGAACAGGGCTACACTTTGACTAGCATGATGTATTTATGTGATTTCTTGCCTTCTATTCACGTCTAAATCTTGTGACTGTACCCAGAGAAGCAACTTGGGAGGTTACGGCGCTTCTTTATTTGCTCTTTGTTACAGTGTAGCCGTATTAACTAAATCTCATTCCCTTGCTTTTTACTGTTACCTGTCTCTTTAATTGGCTTCTTGAGGACAAGTGGCAGAGTCTAGCTTATTGGGTCTGCCCAAACCCTGGCTCCTTGGTGCACTCAGTCAGCTCATCCTCTCCCAGCATGTTGTATGACTCCCAGTTGCAGGCTGAGGTAGGAAGGAGGTCCCTACAGTATCCCATGCCATTCAGGGTTGATTTCCATCTGAATCTAGGACACCAGATGAAGACCACCAGCATGTGCACCCCTTGAAGTCACTGAATTGTATGAACATGCACAGAGATTCCCAGAAATGCTCTTTCTGTGGATTGCTTCTGACTTTGAAATTCTGAGAGAGTTCTAAATAGCCACACTGAATGCCAATGTGCTTTGCCCTCCCTTGTTGCCAGCCTGCCAGCCGCCGTGTCAGGGAAAAGGAGCGCTTCTGAAAAAGGACTTGAATCCTAACCCAGTAACTTTAGAAACAAGGCATTCATTTTTAGTTGATTAGGAAATGCATTTACCGTTCTTGGGGCTCAGGGCACAGCACTCCAAAGTACCATCCCTGGCAGGATGAGTCTTTTGAATTGATGAACAGTGGACTGCTTTCTTACGAAGGTTCTCTCA